AAAAAAAAAAAAAGCTTGTGACACGATGACCAACCAGTGCGACAACGGAGAAGCCCTCCGATGGGCACAAACTTAAAGGTAAACCATGAAACAAAACCAAATCTGCTCGAAACAACAATCGAAGCACGACCAGGCCTGGGAAAGCATTCCAAGTGAAGAACGCTGAAGTCGATGGCTCGCAGTCTCGATGACCTGATCGCAAATGCGGCTTAGGCCACAAAGAATTCCATGTCCAAATCACAGCGGATTCATCTCACCAACATGTGTTTCTGACTGCCCAACAATGGGACACGTCCACAGTTTTTCATTTGGTAAGGAGACGGGTGGTCAGTCACCCACCTGTGTTTGCTAGACATTGAAATGTTTGGTTGCGTGGAGTCATTCGAGGGCCTGAGTGTGTGTGTATGTATGTGGAGGAGCGGGGGCAGGGGGTCTTCCAAGAATGAAGGCGCTCCTCAGTCATTTTGTCCATGTCACTGGTCTCACAAGATAAAACAATCCCTGTGAAACTCATTAAAGCCTAAAAGCAATCATTAATTATTCACCGTGTTTGTGCAAGGTGTTTTGAGCGCAAAGTGTTGCTCATCATGGGATGCAATTACGCAGGTCCACTCGAGCTGTTTTTAATCGTGTCGTCATGTGTTTTTGTACACAAAGATGCCACCCTGAGTATTGACGACAAAGTCCAATGAAACTCATTACTGGCCTCATTCACTATTCATAAGTTGTTGTTCACTTTGAACACGGTCTTGGATTTCATCAGACGGCAATGACAATGCAATATTTGGAGGACTTTTACTCTTTTAAATCAAACAAAATATACTCCGCAACCCAGATTTTAAATGAGCAACACTTGCACAATCGGTATCAGAAATTTGGCGTTGACAAAAATAACTACAATATGATCATTGATGTGGTTGTACTTTGTAGTTTGGGTCGTGTCGGAATGTCTCGCAACACACTGAGTGCTATTCCTAATTTTGTGTCCCACTTCCTCAGTTAAACGAATAGGAATTATTTCATGAGAGTCCACGACAATGTTCCTCAGAGAGAAATTGAAATAAGCATTGGAGTTGGACTGCAGGCCGCCACCAAGGCCGTCCTGAAATGCAGAGCCACCCGAACGTCTCAAGAAGCCATTCTCGAAAAGAAGTCGTCCATTTTGCTTTTGTCATGTTTCGGTTTGTGACCAACAGGTGGCACTGTGGGGCTTTTCCCTGCAGCTGCACACCTGTTGGTCGTTAGGTAATTAGCAGCTACAGTGAAACTCCTCTACAACGAAATCGTGTTTGCGGCAAGAAATTTTTCACAACAGGGGGTTTTTCACTGTAGCAAATTTGGTCTCAGATGTAAGCACACACACACCCACCCACACAAACATATGTGTACACGCACACAAACGTATGTGTACTCTATTTTTATTCCAATAGTGCATAAGTATGAGCATACACTTATTTGACACTTCATATTGTCAGTGTAGAAAGAAAAAAAGGGAAAGAAATTGCGAAATTTACAATCAGCATTCACTATCACTTACATCAATTTCTTGGATCATGTCATTTATTTTGCTTGCTCCGTCTTTCATTTTGATCACTTTTAACCTCTCTTCCAGCATCAGAGCTCTTCTTGTCTTAGCTGCTTGACATCCAAAGGTCCTTTTGTAGCCATTTTAGCATTATAACGTCCACGCTCGTCTGAATCTAACAATAACAAATACTTCTGGACCCGGTGGCTTTTCTTTCCACCATCTCACTGTCTCTACCTAACCCTAACCCAAGACAGCGTTGCTCAGCTGATGTTCATGCAATGAACTTTTAAACCAACCACACCTCGTAGTTCTAAATGGCCACAGTTAGCTTTCGAAGGCTAAAAAC